TGTTCCAAAATAACCAAATCGCACAAATCATTAAACGAATCAATCCCCTCCGCTGTGCGCCAGCGATTAAAAAAACTACTAAGCTCTCTGGCCACATCAGCATGAGTTTGTTTTTCCGACTTTCTCCAATTGCGAAAACGTTGTCTATAACCCTCAGGAATCAATTCGTAGCTTTTTAACACAGCCTCTTTTACCAATTTGTAACTCTTTCTTTCTACAAAAGGCAATGCCAAAAAATGCCTCTTGTGCACGCCCAAGTAATACCGTTTGTAAAAGCAAAGTCTTATCCTCATCACTCCAATTCTGGTCGGCAGCCACATTTTCAAACAAAGAGAAAAATATATCCGGATCCTGTTCGTTGAACTTTGGAAGAAACTTTATCATATTTGCCACACCCAAATTGTGAGTGGACTGTCCACCGGCTTTACCTTCAGCCATCAGCTTAAGCCGAGTGCGTTCCAGTTCATGAGCCCGCTCCTGTTCGTACTCCAAATGCTTCAGTTTTTCCCTTTCAAACACACAATCTTTTTCTCTCTCAATAGACTCCATTCTCTTGCGTTCTAAATCTTGTTCTATTTCAAGTTTCTTTTGCTCAAATTCCAATTTCTTTTGATCCAATTGCATCTGCAAAAGTATCTTTTGTTGTTCATTGGTTAATTCGTTACTTTTAGCTGGGACATTTAAAACAGACGAGTCTGTTGGAAATTTCATTGCTGGGGTAGGCTCTACCAGAGTACCCTCGGGCAACACTTGATTTTCTTTCAAACGATCACGAATAAAATCTATCAATTTATCTTTCTTTGCTGTTTTTGGCAGTGTAAGTTCAATCTCATAAAAATCTGCAACATTCACCAATTGCTCTTTTGTTTGCGCCACTAACAAACTCTCCGACGGAGCAGCAAAAAAATCCTCCAACACACTCATTGTACAGACTATTCAATAATATCGTACCCTATCAACCAAACTAAAGGATAGGTTTTCCAATTATTCTTAAACAACCACAAACAAACAATCCCGGACGAGCCCCCATATGTCAAGCCCACTTGGCTCAAGGTAGAGTTGACATAGGGGAGACCACACTGAACTTAATATTTAATTAAAATGCTAGTTTATTAATACATGATTTACAAAGAACAGTAAATGGGAAGCATAACAAAAAGAGAACTGGCCAGGAGTGCCGACCGACGCCAGCCTCTCATTGTCAGGCCGAAATAGCAGGAAGAGACCAAGCCAGCAGGAAGGCAATGATTTTATCAACTCCCTCATCAGTCCACCAATTAGCATGGCACGACCCACCGGAACAGCTCCACCTAAAAGTGACACAGAACATCAACAGTAGGCAATACAGGCTTAATTGCCCACACCTGGCCAAGCCGGGCGTGACAACAACTTTTGCTCACAGCTGATTGGTCCAATTTCGGTTTGCAACCTCTTACCTGGAACATAACCTGCCCCGGACCAGGGCTGCGTTCAGCGCCGACAAAACGTTGCACAATGTTTTTTAAACAGAAATGGTGATGCGTTGAACGCACTGTTCTGATGACGCAAGAGTTGCAACTATGGCAGCTGAGAAGGCCATTCTTTGTGGAATAAAACATATCGGGCTAGCACCTAAACCGGCTTCATGGTAGAGGCCCTTGGTTGAGCTGTGATATAAACTAAATGCTATTGGCTATTTTAAAAAAGGGGAGGAGCTGCTCTTTATGTCCCGCCCTGTCTTCCTGTTTCACATTGAATAATGCTGTGCGTTTCAAGGCACTTCAGTGGTACTTTAAAGTCCCCATGAATTCAAATTTGACCATACTTACTTTGTTTGCCTAAATTGATCGTTTTGTGGTGAACAATTCATCCATGCAAGTCAATCCACACAAAACATTTTTTTTGGCTTCGTAATCTTTAATCAAAATCTGAAATTTCCCCTCTGGAGGACCTTCCCTGATGACGTAGGTTTGACGGTTTGGGTGTCTGCTTAACATCCGTAACCACGCCCCTCCAACTGACAGTAGACAGGCTGAACGAAAACACCTACTTTTCTAGATCCAATCAGGTGCTAGTTGGAAAAAAGCCACGCCCACTATTTTGCCTCATTTAGTAGGCCTATTCCGTTTCTCTCAGAAATACGTCACAACACTGGAGAAAAGTCGTTTGCAACTTCCGGTTCACGGGGACTTTAAGCAGCACGCGGATTTTAACATTGATAATAAGGTTATTTTTTCTTGAGCATCAAATCAGCATATATATGTATATTTATGTCTGCTTTCATAGGTTTGTGAACTTCAGTGTCTTTGATGTCACATGTATTTCTGATTGTAGGTCATCTTATTTACTAAATGTAGGTCATGGGCTATTTTCACCACCATCATTTTTCCTTCCACACTGTTTCTTCTGATTGCTTCTCGGTCATGTGTTTTGGCAGGTTTGCAGGGGGTCCTCTCAGATCCAGCGCCGGAGAGCCCGAAACAAAGTCAGTCGTGACTACTTACAGCCTCCACACAGAGCTACTGTAAAGCTCCTCTGTTCAGATTCAGAACAACACTGGCCAAAACATCTCACCCAATGGAACAACAGGACTCCTGCTATGTTTATCATCCAAGTCTGGTGCTGGTGGATATGAGGTATTCTTCCTGCACATAAAGAGTTATAGTTTCCATAGCAACCTCCTAACATCATAACATATTGTAGCTTTGGCAATGTGAAAACACATTTCATTCCGTCTTTATGTCTGAGTGCTGCTACTCTAAATGATAAAAGCCATGAGCTATATGAGTATTTCGCCCACATGCACACTCACAAACAATAACAAAGGCATCACTGAGGACAATATTTATTTATTTGGTTAACGTGACACAAACCGTTTTTGATTGGAGTTGATTATGTCCTTTCGCGTCAATCTGTGAAGCAAATTGAATATGACAGCAAGTATGATATGACTTTGCTTCTACTTGCGATATGGGGAAGACACAAAGTTCAAGAATGTCTTTGCCTTAATGAATTAAGACATTATTCATGCAGATTTCATAGACTGTCTATTCTATTCGTAGAAAAGTTCCCATAGAAACAGACTCTAAGTACAATTGATGCAATGAGAGCAAATGATTCATTTCCCACATACTCCATCGATCTACCAATGCATAAATGTCACACTTTTCCTTTAAAGTTAGACATAATGAATATATTAGCATACTGTGACAGTGCTGAAATATGCCGGAAAACTATTGTACACAAGTCCAAAATCAGCAGCAATACATTATTTTGTTCACAAAGGGTCTCATTCACTAACTGTACAATCATATTCACTCAGAAATCATTATTGATCAAAAAGTTTGCTCTTTCGGATTTAAGCACACGTATGCAAAAACCACAGACTTCCTCCTGGTTGCCTCAGCTCAGAAACATGAATATATATATATCAGTACTTTCCACAACCGATGATTAGACTACCATTCAACAAGTTTTTATACACCAAGGCTGCATTGATTTCATCAGAAATACCCCAAAAACAGTAATAAAAATATTAAGAACAGCATTTATTTGAAACAGAAATTTTTTGTAACAATGTAAATCTTTAAGCTCTTTATTGTCACTTTTAAATGATTGTGTTCTTGCTAAATAAAAGTATTAATTTCTTTTAAAAACTAACCCCAAACGTTTGAACAGTAGTGTATATATTCATAGATATTTAAATGTCTTATCTTAGATATTATATATATATATCTTAAAATATTTATTGTACAAGGATATGAATAGTGAATGTAAACAAAATTGCATTTTTTAAATAGTGCAGTGTAAAAATATGATTGTAGCTCAAATTGTGAAAGCTTCTACATAAAGATACAGCCAATAATGTTTATTGTTTTCAACTGGTTTTGAGATTCTTTAATCTTTACTTTACTCAAACAAACATTATTGTAGGGCATTTACAGGGTGTGAGGAATGGCTGTACATATGAAGTCATGCGCCCTTATGGAGATGTTTGGGCGTGTATTACCAAATCACTAACTTAGTACCCGTGCTCCCTAATTTCGAATTATCCATATTCATCAACATAAATAGGACCTATTATCCTTTTTTCATTTTCAACTTTCTTTATTGTGTAACGTCGCTGTTTGACCATGAAAAAGGTCTGCAAAGTAAGTAGTGTGTTGAAACTCATTTCTGAAACACTCAAAGCGGATGACCAATCACAACACACTTTTCCAGCCGACCAATCAAAACACATTGCACTTTTTGGGAGGAGGTGCTTCATAGAGACCGTAACTAAACAAGGCGTTGTTTCTCAAAAGCACGGTGAAATAAGTTGGTGGCAATGGCAATGATTCTACGATCTACTTAGGCTTTTTCAGTGTTACTGACAGACTGGGAAGAGAGGTGCTAAAATAATGTTTAAACCTTTTTTAGTAGACCCCAAAAACAAAATCAATACTTTGTGAAAGGGCATAATATGGCCTTTTCAAGACTGTGTACTGTTTTAAGACTGTTTTAAGACATTTAATCTGTGTACACATTTTGTGAATCCACCATAAATTTAGCATGAGAACATTGTACCAAAGAACATTTGTACGCTATTATTAGTGAATGAGACCCAAAGGATAAGAGTGAAGGTGTGTTCACATTTACTGTTGTTCTGCAAATTTTCATGGGCTAAATCAACTCATTTTAACAGGAATCCACACGAAAAAGATTGTCCCACACAGATGCGAATTCACCATGTTGACCAACAGAGAGCTGCGTGGTTTGAAAAGTGTCTTCTGTGTGAGCTGTGCTTCATACTCTATGATATTTCCAAGAGGGGGTTTCTGCAGCAATGCCACCTTTGAGTGAACAGTTTAAAAAAGAACCATTTTTCTTAGTGTGAAGAACATTTGAATAATCTATCGAACCTTTTTTCACTATAAAGAACCTTGTGTGGAATGGAAATATTCCATTTTTTGCCCACAAAATTTCAGTAATGTGACTGCACCTTATTTGCTCGGCTTCTTTCGAGAGAGAGAGAAAAAAAGTGATCACACTTTGCTGTGGGGTCCTCTGGTTACTTCACATTTCTAAATGGTGGATTTATCTATCTACACTTGTCTCTGCCAACCGGTTGTTCATGATTCCCAGCGCTCCGACCCCTCCGGAGAACTCATTGTGACGCGAGCTGCTCCCTAACTGGCGAGGATGTCCGTTAGCCATCTCTGACAGCTGCTTCTGCATGATGGCCAGATTAACTTTATTAGCGGCCAGAAAGTCTTTCATGGAGATCATCTCTCCAGACATCCGCCGTCCATCCGCCTCGCTGTCATTGACCGCGTCAGTCTCGATGGAGTTTTCCCGCCGGGTTCTCATGTGGCCCGGGACGACCGCGTTCCTCCGAGTGTGGCGGTTCCCTCGGCCTGGGCAGCGGCAGGGAGTCTCCAGCCTCCGCAGAAGCCAGTTGAGAACTTGCTTGATCACGATGGAAATGACGTTGAACAGCGAGTAGATGCAACACACTCCGGTTAGAATGAAAAGGAAGTTGCCCACCCTGTAGGCCGCCTGAGCCTTGTACATCTCACGCTGGTTGCTCACCATATCCCCAAAACCAATGGTGCTGAAAGCCACGAAACAGAAATAGAGGGCGTCCAGGTAGTCCCAACCCTCGGCCGCAGAATACATGGCGGACGCGCAGCAGGAAACCAAGATGGCGGCGACTCCTAAGATGAGCATCACGCAGTACACCGAGGGTTTCCAGCCGGCCAAGCTGTCCGTGCGCCGCTCTCTGGTGCCGGCGGAGGGGCGGTGGCAGTTTTGGGCCGGACCGGCTTTGCGGCGTTCTCTGCGCTTGTGGCAGAACTTCAGAACAAATGCGATCACGGTGATGACACGTTCCAGGAAGAGGTTGAAGAACAAAATGGTGGCAGCGCAACCAATAAGCCCATAAAAGATCAGGAAGATCTTTCCGGCAATAGTGACGGGTGTCGTCATCCCAAAACCTGCGCCACACACAGAAATAAAATGAGGATGTTAGGTTTATAACCATTATAATGCAATCACAGCAAGCGCAGTGTATAATACAGGCTGCAAGAAAATGTTCTTTATAGTGCCAGTCAATATAATATTTTTTTTTATATAATATAGGCTATATTTATATATTAGGGCTGTCAGTTAAACGCGTTATTAACGGCGTTAACGCAAACCCATTTTAACGGCGTTAATTTTTGTATCGCGCGATTAACGGCCTTTTTGGCCTAGCAAACTTTGTAGTTTTTTTCACATGCTTTTGCAACAGGACGCGGCATGCGCGGCGCTGCGCTATGAAACCCATTCATTTCAATGGCTTGCGCCGCGCGAGGACATTTTGTTGCTTCGTCGACCAAAGCGCAAGTGGATCTAGCTAGACCGGAAACAGAACAACAGGCACGCCGCACACACTTGTTTAGGCTTGCGAGCCGGCCAAATAGTTGGTTAACGTTACGTTTTGAGTGGATGACGAGCGCGAGACGCCGGAATGGATGCCAATAAGATTCTGAATGGAAAGTTTACTTTTAAAAAGTTGCCAAATGGTTCCATTGACGAGACCAAAGTGATCTGTGTGTTTTGTCGTTGTGAACTGAGCTATCATTATCGAAGCACGTCCAGTCTGAAATACCACTTGATGGCCAAGCACACACACACACACACACACATACAGCTGATGCGAGTTCTCTGCCCCATCGTCAATATCAGGACCTCGTCAGTATTTCTTTCACCCTTTTATTGATGGACAGTGTTACAATGTGTGTGAGAGTTTTTTTTTTGTGTTTGCTCCAAGTGAGAATGTAATTGTGAAATTGAACACAGTATATGCCAATGTTGTTTCAATAAAAAACATTTGCACAAAGCAAGCCGATCCACTTTTCCATGTTGATAAGAGCATTAAAATGAGAAAAAATAATGGGACAAAAAGAAATGAAGAGACATTTAGAATAGATAAAAATGTGCGATTAATTGCGATTAATCGCGAGTTAACTATGACATTAATGCGATTAATCACGATTAAATATTTTAATCGTTTGACAGCACTAATATATATATTTAATATTATATATAATGTGCTTGTTACATTTTGTTCTGGTTCATCAACCTACCTTCCATTTGTTTAGTTTAGTTTCTGAACAGTAAAAAAACAACAACAAAAAAACACTTGAAATCCACCTATTCTATTAAAATCGTTTTTGGTTTTTTTTGCGACAAGTTGTTAAAGTACATCAGGTCAGTACTTTTTCATGATTGAAATACTATTATAGTTTTTGCTAATATTTTGAATTTATTTTTAGTTTTAGATTTTAATTTTAAAGTTTTAGTTACTTTTTTGTGTGTTTTTGTAATTTTTATTCATTTTTATTTTAGTTTTAGTTATTTTAGTACATCAGGTTAAGCTATGAAAATGATAAATGTGATCTAAGCAACCAGCGGAAATAAAAAATGAGTTTTAAAACATACGTTTTTTATATACATTTAATTTAATTTAATGTTTATTTTATTTAAAGTAAATATAATAATGCCAACTCTCAATCAACATACACAAATTGGTTGATATATTTCGATGACAACTTAATAATTGCTTATTGTTTCTATCTAAAATTATACATGTTAGCTAATTGTATGATTTGTATTTTCTTGAACAGTCACCTCTGATAATGTCAATTATTGAATGAGTGTATAGAAACATGAATTTAAAGCTGCTTTGAAACGATATGTATTGTGGAAGGCGCTATACAAATAAATGTGAATTGGCTTTATGCAGCTTCACTACTTCCTGAACTTCAGCCAGCCCTTTGTTTCCTGTCTGTCATTATTGGACAAACTGATTAATCCAGGTGTGCCTGATTATTGTTACTGAGGCCAGGCACACCTGGATTAATCAGTTTGTCCAATAATGACAGACAGGAAACAAAGGGCTGGCTGAAGTTCAGGAAGTAGTGAAGCTGTGCATAAAGCCTATTGAATTGAATAACCCTGTATCAGGTGTTGCAACATTAAAACATTTTATATTCCATCCGGTGTTGTTTTTATGCTTTTGTCTGTGTCAAATGTTGATTTAGACACATGATCAAGGCTAAAGATCCATTGTTAAATTCTCATGCATGTTGAACCTTCACAATTTTGCGTTGTTATCATCACAACCAATCTGGACAAAGCTAGAAAGTTTGAAACGATCAGATCTGGCCGCATGTAACTTGCAGTTGGTCTCAAAAATCAAATTTGAGAGGGGGAAAAAAAACAGATTCCGCATACAGTGTGAAAAAGTACATTGTGTTTCGCCAAAGTAATTCCATATAAGTCTAAAAACATCAAAACATACAGAGAAGCTGTACTCATAAAAACCCTCCAGCCACTGCAGAACTACAATGGATTAGCACATGCAACTGCTGTGAGCTAATTAGAAACTGAGCTGTAATTGTCCTCTAATGAGCAGCATGTGCTCCAAATCCCACGTGAACCCCGGGCTCCAATCACCTCCAGCATCTAGACAACCCCACTTTCCCTTCCCACTAGAAATAGGTTGCCATTGGTGACGGCAGCCTTACCTCTCTATAGTTTTTTTCTTTTTCTTGCATTGGTCATCTTACCGATTCCATTGCAATTTAATCCTGAGATGTATCATTTACGAAGATCCACTGTGTGACTATTGATATTAGGTGCATGAATTAACTAATAAATAAGATTAAATGCTCTCACTATTATGCAACTATGCCCTGGATAACTGTCCACTGTTCAGGATATTAATTGTCTATACAAGCATCAGTAAATATTAATGAGGCTAAAATAAACTTCCCCTGCTCTGCCTGTTTCTTTAACCACGTCTAATTTTTGTGCGCATGAAATGCCAGATGTGACTGCATAGAAAAAAGTCGTGCATTTAATATTCTCTGTAGCCCTTTTGCAAAGACAAATCTGACACATGCTGAGAATGAATTGAACCTGGTTTATGGAGAAACTTAATTTAAAGTTCTCCTGAACTGAAAAGTTTTCATTGATGTTGCACTTATACTAGGCAAAGCAGACAACTGAAAAAAGTTTATTATGTATTATATTATATGTACCAATCGAAATTGGATTGGAATTCTGTTTTTGTGGTTAATCTGTTTATCATGTTCAAAGATTTTCACATTTAGATTTAATCTTTTGCTTCTTCACAGAAATGTGTGTTTTTCCTCAATATAGCTCTATCAGATGTGTCAAGTGTGTGTTAGACGTGTTGACAATAGCATTCACTTCAATGAGTAAATGAACGAGATGATGGATTCAAATTTCCAGCTCCATCTATTGAATTGTCAAGAGTCAGACAGAAAATCTTTGGCAAATGACTTGAGAAAATAACTGCTTTGTTGCGCATAGCACACATGTATTAAATGCAGTTTTCTTTTTCTGGTGCTTTAGCTAGTAATATGACCTGCTGAAAATGAAAAAAAATTATCTCAAAATCGCAAACAATGTTTAATTTGTGCGATTTAGTTACGAGATCATCAGAATTATGAAAAAGTATTTTATATCTATACTTTTTTTTCATAATTCTGATTATATATAAAACTCACCAGAGTGTTTAACTGTTAACAGATGAAATACATCTAAAGAGGATCTTTGGGAAGAAGTCTGAATTGAATAGCCTATTAATTGTACAAATATCTAAAGGTGGCGATGATAAAGTAGTATAGCTGCATGTGAAATTTAGTTAGTAGATAGTGCAATAATGTCATATATATATATATATATATATATATATATATATATATATATATATATATATATATATAAAGAGAATATGAGATAAATTGGTTTGCACAGTGACCTGCAGCTCAGATTCTAGTTCCAAAGTGCAAATAGCTTTTGTAAAAACAAATGGCAATTATTGTTGGTTTAACTTAAAAAAGTAAGTAAACTGGTTGCCTTAGAATTTTAAGTCCATTGAAATTACTACCATGAAGGAGATTGGTTTCATCAACAGAAACTCAAAATATTATGTTATCTGAAGAACCACATCAATTATCAAAATTTGATTTGACAAAAGAAAAAAGGTTGTGATAACAAATTATGAAAACAATTCTTTACAGTGCATGTCTCAAGAATGAGATGTTTTAAAAACCATTAAATCTGATTAAAATAGTTAATTAAACCACTAAGAAAATCCATATAGTCTTAAACATCAATATTTAGCCTATAGTGCCACTGAAAGAAAATTATATCGTTTCGCCGTCTGAATGCGCACCAAATGGTAAAAGGACCTGTTGCACATGTTACTTTGATAGGTTACTTGTGCTGGCTAAAATCACAAAACTAGATTAAAACAGACTTTGAAATCTTGTAGTCTGACATTTTTGTCTAACTATCATGCAGTTTAAGGTGGACTTGACAGCTCACCAATAGTTGAAACCACAGTTCCGACGAAATAAAAAGCTCCCGCAAAATCCCATCGCGGTCTGGTCGCGTCCACACGGATTCCCGCCACATTGGCCTCCTCATAGTTCCTCAGGAAGTTCTTCAGGTCGTCTTGACTCAGGTTGTACTTGTGTGTGAACTGCTCGATCCTCTGAGCCCATTTCTCCTTGGCGAGCTTCTCCTTCGGATGCTCCAGAGATGAAAACACCGCTGCCCCACATAACAGGTAGATGATGATTAACAAAGCCAGCATTAGAAATCTCGCATTGTCTTCATTTAGGGTACCGATGCTGTTGCAGCAGCATCCAGCGCGGCAAGCCATTATTTTATAGCAATATTATTGGAACAGATGAACCACCACATCCCAGTTCATCATGGATCATGCATTTTTTTCTGTTCAGAGGTCTGCGTCCAAATGTTTCAGGGATCTTCGAGCGTTATTCTGCTCGAAATGTCCAGTTTCTGTCGGAACCGATCTGCCAGCATGATGCGCTTTGTCTCCAGCGCAGTGATAGACTGTGTGACCCCAACCTCTCCAAGAGCGCGCGTGGATCCGCTCAGTGGCGTCAGACGAGGTCACACACACACACACACACACACACACACACACACACACACACACACACACATACTGGTACGGGTGGTTTATAAAGACTTTTTCCCCTAAAAAGTTCCATCCTGGTTTATGGGGACCCACCTTTCCCTTTGTCATAGAGATTAATAATAAATATTAAACTGCTCCTTATGGCATGGGGTAAAAATCTGACTGCTCAGAATTTAATTCTAATGAAACAGTCTGGTAATATGAAGACCTGACAAACTAAAGCACTGTAAGGACAGGGCAGGAGTGGGCGTTTCCTGATTTAATTATGATTTATGAGGACTACCCTGGTTTATCTGGACATCACTCACATACATACACACACACACACCTGACCCTTAATTATGAGGACAACCCCGGTTTATCTGGACATCTCACACATACACACACACACCTAACCCTTAATTATGAGGACTAACCTGGTATAACCTGGACTAACTTTACCCATGAGAGTGCCACATCACTTAAGTTTGTTTCAATACCAGCATATAGAAAAACAAAACAAGAAATTATCAGCAATTGTTCAACCTGGCTTAAACTTTAAGAGAGATTTCAGAAAACTAACCTGAGTTTGTAATGTGAGATTTAGCAGGTGTGAAGTGAGTGAAGAGCAAAGAGAGAAGAAGGAAAGTGAAATACGGAAATATTTTAGCTTTAAAAATTAAGAAATTAAAAAACCAAAAGGAGAGTTTACTATTTAACCATCACTGACAAATGCATTCACCCACAAATATTTTTCATAATTGAACCTTGAATGTCAGTCTTAATTTATTCATTAGATTAAGAAGTTTTGTCTAAAGATAGTTTTGAATAAAGCTAAATATTTCCAGTTGATTGGGTTTGGGTTTTGTTAAAGGTGACCTATAATTCAAAATTGAATTTACCTTGGTATAGTCAAATAACAAGAGTTCAGTGCATGGACATGACATAGAGTGAATCTCAAACTGGACTGTTTTCGCGTTCTCATTTAATTCACGTTTATGAAAAACACCCCTGAAAAACGGTCGGTTCTCCACACAATACCGACTGTGACGCAATAGTCGGGATCATTAATATGTACGCCTCCAAATATTTGCATAATGCCAGCCCTCAATGCCAGGCGGAACTGCGCAGCCGAAGCATGGCAGTTGCTCAGTGTTTGGATGTACACATGAACACAAAAGTATTTTTTAGTTCCTTCATCTGAGCCTCTGAAGAAACAATGGGTTAATTTTATTTTCTCTGGAAATTTCCAAACATTTCACCGACTGTTTCCTCAACTTGGGCCAATACAGAGCTGGCCTCGGATCGAGCTACCAAGCAACACTTTCTGATGTGTAATTGTTCAAGTTCAGACAGGTAATCTTTCTCTCAAAATCGTTCAATACTGTTTATGCATCAGTAAGTCAAGCCAGTGACTAAAATATCAGCTTCACATCGTTTCTTTTAGTAGGATGAAAATAATCGTATTTAAATTGTGAACAAATTATATACAGAAAGAACAATCTTTCCACACAGCGCGAGTTTATCTGGACACTTGCCAAACTCGTTATGAAATCAATGACGCACGTTACTGCACAACGAAGCTCTTACTGTATTTACATCATCGTGTTTGCATTGGTGAAAGCAGAGAGAGTGCAGAAACTGCTTTGCAATGATAAGATCTTCATTCTCGCGATCAACACACCGTCATCTGCTCAATGCTCATCAAGGCAACATTTTATGTGATGGGAATAGATCTAAATACTTTAAAAACATCTCACGATTCGTTAATCTCTATAGCTGTTATAGTAAAAACGTATAATAGCAGTAGTAAAAGTATTCGGGAGAGAGTTTCACATGTAATGCGTAGCTATTTCATATGCAAGCATGTCAGCCAATCACAGCAGTGGCTGGCTACACTGAATCCCACAGCAGACACGCCCCTTCAAACAGAGTGTTCAAATCAGAGGCTAAAAGCAGGCTAGGAAAAATGCCATTTATTTCTAAATTATGAATATTTTTTATCTAAAAAACATACTAACATTATAAGGGTAACCCAGGAAACATTATAAAATAATAATAAAAAACATTCAAGGGCACCTTTAATGTAAAAAGAGAAGATTGTTCAATACATCAGTAACCATATGAATCATGCATACACACACACAACCCTAACTAACCCTTGATTATGGGGACATTTTGGGTTTAACTGGACCTCACTCACACACACTCTCAAACACACACAACCCTAACTAACCCTTGATTATGGGGACATTTTGGGTTTAACTGGACCTCACTCACACACACTCTCAAACAAACACAAACACCTAACTAACCCTGGATTATGAGGACATTTTGGGTTTAACTGGACCTCACTCAAACACACACTCTCAAACACACACAAACACCTAACTAACCCTGGATTATGAGGACATTTTGGGTTTAACTGGACCTCACTCACACACACTCTCAAACACACACAAACACCTAACTAACCCTGGATTATGAGGACATTTTGGGTTTAACTGGACCTCACTCACACACACTCTCAAACACACACAAACACCTAACTAACCCTGGATTATGAGGACATTTTGGGTTTAACTGGACCTCACTCACACACACACACACACAACCCTAACTAACCCTTGATTATGGGGACATTTTGGGTTTAACTGGACCTCACTCACACACACTCTCAAACACACACAAACACCTAACTAACCCTTGATTATGAGGACATTTTGGGTTTAACTGGACCTCACTCACACACTCTCAAACACACACAAACACCTAACTAACCCTTGATTATGAGGACATTTTGGGTTTAACTGGACCTCACTCACACACACTCTCAAACACACACAAACACCTAACTAACCCTTGATTATGAGGACATTTTGGGTTTAACTGGACCTCACAAACACACACAAACACCTGACTAACCCTTGATTATGAGGACAAACTGGGTTTAACTGGACCTCACTCACACACTCTCAAACACACACAAACACCTAACTAACCCTTGATTATGAGGACAAACTGGGTTTAAATGGACATCACTATTAACTCCACACATAGCAGGAGTACCTGTATTAGAGTTAACCATACTAAACCAAATCAACTATTCTACATTAAAGAGTGAATTCACAAATTATTGTGCATCTTTTTGCTGCCACTAAACCTGTAAAAGTAATACGCACACCTAAGGAAATAGTGCTACAATGTGCTGTTGCTATATCAACCAACATATACACATGTGGTGCAAAATGAACCTGGTTGGAGAAAATTCAGTGATCAAAGATCAGCAAGTTTTACACTTCATAGAAGACTAGTTAAAGGGCAATTAGATGAAGAAATGCAACTAGACAGCCAATAAAAACTAACAAAATTAAACTGAAAGGGCAATTTTTATTTTGCAAATGGTAAAAAAAGGCTCAACAACTGAGATCTAATAAGGCCATTATTAGAGATGCACAGATTGATCGGCTTGGGACCGGAATTGGCCGATTTTCACGTGATCGGCCGGTCAGTCTGACATATGCCGATTTTATACCGGTCAAACGCACTCGGGCGCCGCATGATTAACATCAGCATCACACGTGCACACGGAACGCACATGTAGAAAACCTCGTGAATTACGGCCGTTTCACACCGCAAGCGTGAGAGGCGCGTATTTTTTTCGGCGTGCATTCACTGATTAACATGCATCACACCGGGAGCGGGAGCAGAGCGTCAAGCAGGAGCGTCGCGTGAGCAGCAGTGAAGCGGTTTCGGCACAGAGTCTATTTTTGCTGCGCTGCTCACACTCAATTAAAGTGAAAGCACACTTTTTTTGATGGGCAAAATAAATATGATTTCACACAAAAAGTGCCCAAAATGCACAGAATTTGCATGTCTAGTGTGTTTTAACAAGAACTGGAGTAGGCTATGTCAGAAAAGAAAATGAAGAAGACTCAAAAATATTTATAGAAAATTCACCCATTTAAACTTGTTTTTATTATTCAGTTTGGGTAGAAGTATATGGTGTTTTATAAAAATAAAAAAATAGAAAATAAATATTTGTGTGTGCTGTAAAGTGGTTAGAAAAAATGAAATCGGAATCGGCTAAAATCGGTATCGGCAGGTCAAACTCGGAAAAATCGGAATCGGCCTAGAAAATTGTAATCGGTGCATCTCTAACCATTATGGGACTAAAGTGCATGAGGGAGTGTGCCTCAAAATGACCTCAGCAACACACTGGAAATAAAACCAAATTAAATTGCCTTCCAGTAAATGCATGTATTTGTACATTTCTTTCAAAACAGTGTTTTAATAAAAGTAAATAAAAGGATGTCTTGAACACTCTTCTGGCCCAACAACAGTTTAGAGAACAAAACCCACAGACATTAAAGGTTGTATCAGCGATTTCAGGCCCAAATATAAATGATCACATTCATCTAATTTTTCCTAACGATCCGCTAGCTGCCCGCTCCATAAGCATGCCGTCCAAAAACCGCGTCTCTGTAGGCAGCCTAGGCTCTGAGATCTGCACACAAAAACAATGGGTTTCACCAACCACTCAAAACCAAAATAAACAGTGTTCCAACCAATCACCGACAGTTCCAACCAATCACCGCAAAATCTCAAACCACAACACCCCCACCTTTTGTGTGCAGATCTCAGAGCCTAGGCTGCCTACAGAGACACGGTTTTTGGACGGCATGCTTATGGAGCGGGCAGCTAGCGGATCGTTAGGAAAAATTAGATGAATGTGATCATTTATATTTGGGCCTGAAATCGCTGATACAACCTTTAATGGAAGGCGACACTGATCTCTCGAAGAACTCTAAGAAGATTTCTTTTTCAACATCAAACCTCGGTTCCTCACGAAATCCCTTATATTTTGGGCCGTTCTTTCTCTCAGAACAGGGTCCTCTGCAGTCTTGCACTGCTCACACTCTGCCTTTGTTGCAAGGTGTCCCTTTGAAATATGGA